GTCTATGAAGTGGGACTCAATCTCCCATAAGCAGAAGCAAAATCTCTATTTAAATCCCACTTGCAAGGTCTGGACGAGCTTCCTATTTATAGTGAAATCCTTTTTATAATGATCTCATATACGGTAACAGGAAATTGCTCATGGCTGGGTCAGGCCATGGGCCAATCTAGCCATGGTGTGAGCTTTACTTAAAAAAAAAAAAAAAAAAAAAATTCCTTCACGAACCTCCAGAATTCTCCAGAGAAGTGTTTTCACAGAGCATATGACAATAAACAGGATCACCCAGGACAGATTACTATGGCAGGGACATTAATTTAAGTTCAAAGAGAATTTCTGCTTTTATCAGGTCAATCTTAAGAATTTTTATTGCTTTGGGCTTTGTTAAATACTTATTGGGTGAATCAAGTGGACTGTAAAGAGATTTAGGAAATATTTTACATGCAAAGTATGGCTAGAAAATGTTTGTCTCTGGACTTTCCAGGATGCAGCAAAGTGTGATGAGAGGCAGAATCTCTGGGGACAGAGAAACGGTGATGAATCCTGCTTCTAAAGAGGTGGTACTAGGGGTGGGAGACAACACCTTAAGCTCTTTGGATTTTAGTTACTGCATCTGTCAAACAATCCCTACTTAACAAAGTTTTTTTTTTTTTTTTTTTGAGAGGTTTTTGCTATAGGGCGCGTGTACTTGCCAGACAGAAAGAGAGAGACAGAAAGCGAGAAATCACTCCCCAGGGGGCATGGCCATGCCGCAATCCCTTCTCCTCCATTCTTCTCTTGGGATCTTGGGCACATACACACACACGCCTGGCGTGAGTTTTAAGCCACCGGGTTCGGGACGCGAACTGTGGTCGACTACATGGGAGTCCAGTGACATAGGCATTACACTAACTGCTGGTCCCCATCTACTTAACAAAGTTTTTGTAAGAATCAGTGAAGTCATGTATGTGAAGCATCTAACCTAAGATCCACACAGCTTTGGAGCGTAATGGTTTTTTTTCTTCTCAATAAATAGTTGGAGAAGAGGGAGGCTGAGTGGGCAAGTGCAACCTGGTATCCCCTTCTCAAGAGACAGTGAGTCATAGTTTCATATTTTCTTGTGTGTGTATGTACAGAACAATATCTCACCTTCCATTGGAGGGCTACAGTGGTATTCTTCTAGCAGTGCTGGACCCTTGACTACCCACTGTGGCATATTTTGGGAACTGATCATGAAGTCAGGCCAGATGACCGATCAATTCATTTGGACATAGACCAGCTCTCCTCTCTGAAAGTAGAGAAATAAGCCAGGGGCAATGAATAATATTCACAGTGACATATAACTCAGCTATAAGAAAAGCAAACACAGTGCTCTATACTGTCTAGGAGGAGGTCCCGGGGGCATTGCTGCACCTCCTGTTTATATCTTTGCCATCTCTTCCTAAGCGATGCATTCACCTGTCACCTGTCTCCATTGTGTAGCGTGCATAGGTGTTCCAACAATGAGTTAGATGTGGACCCTGACCTGAAAGAATAGACCACTTAATAAAGGGAGAGGAGGCAGGTGTTCATGGGGAATTTGGGGCCAGTTGACAGTGCAGAGGTAAAATGTGATGTTCTACAAGGTTGACTTACATGGGAAGGCTCCAGGTTTGCATCCAGGAACCTCCCTAGGTATGGCCGAGTGCATGCGTGCTCATGATATACAGGACTGGTCGAGGCTGGGGGTGGATGGTGGTGCCAGGACCCTGTTGGGTTCTGCCTCTGTCTCTTTCACTCACTTATAAAATATTTTTTTAAAACAGTGAACAACTTAAAAAATATACTTGGGTTTCACAAGGTTTTTTTGCACCAAAAAAACTCATACTTTGATTCCATTTGTCCATAAACTCTTGGAAGCATTCCTCTATAAGTAAGAGAAGAATCGTAGTAGTGATGTCAACAGAGTGCCCTCCAAAAAGCATGACTGGCCATTTGTGGCAGGGAACCAGAAGAACTCCCTAGGAGGACCCTTGCTCTGAAACCAATCCTAAATGCTAAAAAGTGTAAGAAAACAAGATGCATAAGCTTTTAGGCTTTTTTTTTTAAAATCATAATGGATGGATATGTTGAGCTCACTGTCTAAAGAGAGTAGGGACTGAAGTAAAAAGAATTTCTCCAAAAAGAAAGCATGGCTGCCATTACTTTCTACAATATTCTGGGCAATTGCTAGACTCAAATTGTACTCGCCCACCCCCACCTCTCCTGGCATGTCACAACTGCACACACTAGGGCTTACAAGAGAGATTTGAGAACCCCCTTTCATTGCCTTGGACAGGCACTTTGTAGGGTCAACAACTGACAATGTGATTCAGTGTTCTTAGAAACTTCTCTTCGGATGAATTAAGTTCTGCTCCTTCAGTCTTTTTATATAGGGTCAATTACTCTGTCACTGTTTTGTTCTCCTAATTCATTTCTGAATTTTTCATTTCTTGTAGTATTGGAGGTCCTTAATCAATTGGGTGTTCTACCAATGGCCTGTTCATGGTGAATATGCTAAAGAATGATCTGGAAGTTCTTGTACTTTATATTTCACTTCATTATCTTTATACATCACAAAGGATACAGTGTGTTGGGGAAAAGTGGATTATTTGGTCACTTGAAGATTTTGTTAATGAGGAAGCAATCAAACATTATAGGAATCCCCTAATGGTCTAGGAGAGAAACTGAGATTGGGCCCCCCGAGAGTTTCTGTGGGACGATATACACGGGATTCTTTTCATACAGGAAAGAATTGTAATTTGCGAATGGCATCTCCATGTTTTATATCTAGTTCATATCAACCATGACACAGTTTTGGTTTACCCTCAGCCAAATTTTGTAAACTATCTCTTCTTTCTCTTCACCACTTCATAGATTTCTGTCTGTCTCTGGATGAGTAAACTCTGGAGAGTTCTAAAAATGGTGAAGATGGCAATTGAGGGGGAGGGCAGAAAGGGTCACTGGTACTTCTGGATTTGAGCAATAAAAATTTTATAGGTAGAGTTAAATTCTTGCAGACATGCTGGTTTGGGGAGCTTCTTTGCAAAACCAGTCTGTATGCTCTGCAGATGTTTTTGAGATCCAGGGACTGATGAAGAAAAACCTATACCCAACAGACTACTGATGTGGCCTGCTCCTCTGTCTCCCCCAAACAGCCAACACTTTTCTTACAGAGAATTATCTGCCTCCCTGAAGATGGAAATCAATGACTTAGAAACTGATTAAACAATCCAAATAGCAACTGATAAATGGATTAACCCTCTATAATGTAATTCTGCTAGCTTTGTCTTCCGCCTTCCCCAGGTATGTTCTCTGTTCCTGGAGGCAAAGCAAAGGCATGGAAGAAGCAAAAGCCAGAGGGAATCGTATTAAAGTGGGTGAATCTGTTTATCACTTACTGTCTGGACGGTATTTCTGCTCACATATCTGCTTCCTTTTACAAATTTGTACCCTACGGGACCCTGATTAATGTTAGTCAGTGAATAATGAAAGATAGTAGCAGACGTTGGGTATGGCGAGGAGGAAGATACCCTGGTGGTTAAGGCTGATCCCATAAAGAGAGAGACTTTTCTTCTTAGTCACAAACAGAGAGTGTGAATGTGACAAAGAAATATTCATAATAGGGAGAGAGAAACAAAGGATAATGGAGGAATTTCTCCCCATGCAAAGAACCTGTCCGTGGTATCCCAGCCAGCCCCTCAATATGGAGAATAATTTCAGTTCTCAAGAACATGTGCTGTTCTCATGAGGCTTTGTTTTCAAGGTCATGCCCCATGATCCTTTTTTTTTTTTTTTTTTTATGTTTTTTGCCGTGGGGTGTCAGCAAGGTGGGTTATAAAGTTAGTGTGTTTAGTTACTTATGAAGATCTTCAGCCTAAAGCATGCTCACTAACACATCATTTAACTCATCTTCGACATGAGGCTGAGCTAAGTGCTTCATAGATCTGTGTCCAGTTCTGATTCTAGGCATTTGGGATCTGCAGATTAACTTGTCCTGGGTCCCTTCCATGATCTATAAGTCTGGACTTCAGGGACACCTGTGTGACTGCCAACATGTTCAATTAAAAAGGTGTGGATAAGAAGCAAAAAAAAAAAAAAAGATAACCTACAGTTTAGATACTAACTTTAATGAATTTATCAGGAAAAGAGACAAAGAAATCTCCTAGTTCCAATTCCACTGAAAAACCACAGGCTTTACTTTTTTTTTTTTTTTTTTTTTTTTGCCTTTGTTCGAGGGCTTTCAGCAAGGTGGGTTATAAAGTTAGTGTGTTTAGTTACTTATGAAGATCTTCAGCCTAAAGCATGCTCACTAACACATCATTTAACTCATCTTCGACATGAGGCTGAGCTAAGTGCTTCATAGATCTGTGTCCAGTTCTGATTCTAGGCATTTGGGATCTGCAGATTAACTTGTCCTGGGTCCCTTCCATGATCTATAAGTCTGGACTTCAGGGACACCTGTGTGACTGCCAACATGTTCACCAAAGACCCAGAGCATCTTCAGTCTCCTTCTTGGATATGACTACCCATTGGTGCTTCTTTGTTTTCCTTTTCAGGGACCAGGAAGAATACCTCCTAAACAAGAGCACCTTTTCCAAGGGCAAGGCCCAGGCACTGACCATTTCTTTCCCTCTAGCCACACTACTGTTTATGATTGCCATCTGATGTTTGAGCCCTTGACCATGAAAGCTGGTTGATCAGTAGGTCTTCAGGAGGCTTGTTTATCCAGGGATGCAGTCAGAGGAGCAAGCTAATATCTAGAAAAACATAGAGCTGGGAAATATTACAAAAATTAAATGACTTGCAAGGCATTAGTACCAATGGGCCAAGAAGGATTAAAAAGAAAACCTATTCTAGTATAAGAACTTGGTAATAACAAAACCTCAGATTCTAAACTTCATTTTCTTTCTGGAGCATAATCTACCATACAGTGGGAGGTGAAGAGGGGGAAGTAAAAACTCATCTTGGCCTAAAATTGGAATTTTAAAAAAATGTTCCCACAGCCCAGAAAGGACCAGATGGGACAGTCATCCCCAATAACTACTGTGACTTCTGCTTGGGGGGCTCTAACATGAACAAGAAGAGTGGGCGGCCTGAAGAGCTGGTGTCCTGCGCAGACTGTGGACGATCTGGTGAGTGTGGCTCCTTCCTGCATCATGTGCCCATAGACCAGGAACTGTTCCACCTGCATTCCTCGGCCATCTCAGTGGTGGGTTGGGGGTTGGAGAGTGGAGCGGAGAAGTGATGGTGGTGATGATTTTGAGTGGAGAGGGTTTTTTCAGGTCATTTTGGTATTTTTCTTTTTTGAGTCTCAAGGACCAAAAGTTATGCTCTGAGACCCAGGGAAAAGAGCATGGCAAAGTTATTGGTTTGTGTCTGGACTTTTCATATGGTGGCTATTTCTCTGTGTGTGTGGTTATGGGCCATAGCAAGGTAGCGTGGAAATACTTGGAGACACATGCTTTCTTGTATTGAATCATGCTCATGTAACAGAAAGATGTTATTTGTTTTGTGGAAGTACCTGTTGGCCATATAAAGTGCCTGTCTGGAGGAATGAAAAGAGTTCTCAAATCCAACTTGTAGGTCTTGGGTGTGGAGATGTAACATGCCATGCCAGAGGGAGTACTATTTTAGTCTAGTAATGGTCTAGTATAGAAAGTGATAGTGAATAGCTATGCCTTATTTTTGGGAAATTCTTTTTGCTTCAGTTCCTTGAAGAGTTTGGAAACATGAATATTGGGAAAACAGTCACATCTTGAGTTGCGGGAGTCAGAGATCCTGGGTAGTTGTATAAACAATATATCCATTTGCCTCTCATTCCATTTTCTTTTTTCTTTTTTTTTTTTTTTGAGAGGTTTTTCACTATAGGGCACGTGCGCTCGCCAGACAGAGAGAGACATAGAGACAGAAAGCGAGAAATCACCCCCCAGGGGGGATGGTCACGCCGCAATCCCTTCTCCATTCTCCTCTCGGGATCTTGGGCACGCATGCACACGCGCCCGGTGTGAGTTCTAAGCCACCGGGTCTGGGACGCGAACCGTGGTTGACTACATGGGAGTCCAGCAACATAGCCATTACACTAACTGCTGGTTCCCTCATTCCATTTTCTCACGGAACAGACAAAAGGAGGAAAAACTATATATATATTAATTTTTAAAATATATTCAAAGACTAAGAAAGCAGAAAAGAGATTTTGGTCCTGTATCTTCATTCTTAAAATAACTGTTCAGGTCTTTAAGTTTTTATTAAACCGTTGTGATATTTTAAAATTTTAGCCAAACCATTACTTTTGGTTGGTCATGACTGGTTGATACTTCCTATTCTTCCTATTGTTTTATGTAATAACTAGACCAATGAAGGGATGAAAGAGGATTTCAGACTCATCTGCAGTTTCATCAGCTACTGACTAGGAGTAAAACAATTCCATTGGGTAGTTAGTTCCAGAAGTTAGGAATGATTTCCTCTTACTACCTTTCTTTCTAGAGTGTATTTTCCACTCTAAGTCCCAAGAGAATGACCAAGAAGACCACATGTTGGTTTATCTTAGCTCAGCTTTTCTCTTGCTTTGTCCATAAATCTTAGCTTTGGCCTTTTTGGTGTTGGGGTTGCTTAGGGCTCAAGACTGATTTGAGTGGCAAATGAGTAATTGAACAAGGATTGTGGTTTCCATGGCACACAACCCTCAACACTGAATTTTTAAGGACCCTGTCAGGATGGCCCATTGGTACAGTTCTGTCAATTCATTTACTGTCCAAACATGATGCCTAAAGTTGAAATTTTAACTCTCCGGGTGCTAGCTTAGAGAACAGGGCCCTTATGATAGTAAGTTTTCGAATACTTAGAAAATAAAACAAATGAAATTTGTTTCAGTGTTTTGTAAAAGCAAGCAACTAGACAAAAGTATCTACTGCCAAAAGCAAGGTCACTTGATGGAATGACATTTTAAGCAGAACATTGTGGACTGCCGTGGGTTTGGATGGATCAGAAAGGGCAGCTTCAGAATTTTCATTGCAAATTGCTGTAATTTCCCCCCTTTCTTTCCTACAAAAGATGGGGTAATTGAATCTGATCCATGGGGCTTCAGAAGTGGGAAGCTGGTTTTTCTGCACAAAACCTTTCTCACCATCAGCTTCACTCAGCTTTTCTTTCCCAGGTTCTGTCTGCTTGTAACTCAGGGGGCCATTTTATACCAGCCTAGCTAGTCTCATTGCTGAGGATTAATTTTGGTGGATCATTTAGTCCAGGTCTGACTCTGATGTGACTGAAATAGTCGACACCTTGGGAATAAACAGGTGGCATTAGCCCATGGGATGTGCTTGTTAAGGCAGGTGGGCGGACACTTCTCTGGAGCCTCCCTGGGGTCCTTCCAGTGCAGAATGTGGAGCTTGGATGGTCTGCCTGTCCCTTCCCATCTACCCCACGACTTTTGTTTCCTTGGAGAAAGTGAGATTCCTGAAATTGGCATCGTCAGTGGTGCATCATTACCTGTGTGGGGGCAGCCCTGGGACCCAGGCAGAATGTAACAAAATGTAAACCCGGGTTTACAAATTTCAGAGCATTGTGTTTTATTAGGCTTTTTAAACTCCTATTTCTCACCTCCTTAGAGCTCTGAGCTAGATTTGACAACTCTGAACTTTCTGGAGTAACAAAGACCTGGGCATGTTGAGTGGCTGCAGTGTGTGTGTGTGTGTGTGTGTGTGTGTGTGTGTGTGTGTGTTTGGGTGGTGTGTACAACATGCCTGTATGTGGGTACAGATCACAGGAATTTCCTCCAGTGATTAAATAAAATAAGAAACTCTTTTATGACTTACCACTTATCAGACTTTCCAACTTCTTTTCACTTTCAGTGCAAATGAACTACATGGTATAAGGGCAGAATTGAAAGGGCTCTGAAAGAATGGGATTAGAAGCGGGTAAAAATAAAAATAAAATGGATGGAGGCTTAACCACCTTGAATGGGTTGTCTGACAGTAATACCTTTGTAAAGCTGACTGTCAAAGCGAAGGACAAACATTGTTCAAAGAAACACGAACTGAAAACACCAAAGAAATACCAAGCAGGCTTAAAAACCACCAAGGAAAACCTTTGTCTGGGGCGGGGTTGAGTGAGCCTGCATGCGTACGTGTGCATGCGGAAGCGAAGAAAGATCCTGGTTGAATCTTTGGCTGTCCGAGGTTGTGAACTTATGTGTTACGGTAGAGATGGTGCCTTTAAGGGGGCGGGGAGATCCTCTTCCCTGGAAATGTTTGCTTCGTCCCAGATCTCTGTCACCAGGCGATGTACCTGGTTCATCCCTTTTGGTGTGAAATGGTTTATGGCCTTGCTATTAAGAATAACATCGTAATAATGTAATGAGAATATTAATAATGCTGTCTGTTGCTTAACCCATGTGCTGATATATTCATCATACATGTCAGCTCATTTGGGAGGAGAAGGCAGGAAGGAGAAGGAGGCAGCGGCCGCAGCACGCACCACGGAGGACTTATTCGGTTCCACGTCAGAAAGTGACACCTCAACTTTCCACGGCTTTGATGAGGACGATTTGGAAGAGCCGCGCTCCTGTCGGGGACGCCGCAGTGGCCGGGGTTCGCCCACAGCAGATAAAAAGGGCAGTTGCTAAACCCACGGAACAGACTCTCTGGGCAATTAGCCATCCCTCTCTGACTTTGGTCATTGTTCTGGTTCTGATTTTTTTTTTTTTTTTTATGAAAGACAATTTAGATTTTCCCCTGATCCTTGCTTTTTCCTCTTACCTTCCATGTGTCCCTTTCCTCGCCATCCCTCGATTTTGGGGTATGTACGACAGGAGCACAAACTACTGAGACAAAACAAAACGAAAGAGCAGACGAGAGTTCTTCAGAGATGGCATCGTGATGTACTATTTATTTTCCATAGAGATAGAAAGTTAGGTGGGTTTTCTCTTTGGGGGGCAGGGAATCTTTTTGACATGAGCAGAGTTGATTTCCTCAGTTTTCATATTTATTGGCAAAATGAAGAGAAGTGGAACACTGGGTTTGGAAACACAGAACCAATAACATTAAACATTATTATTTATATATGCTAGCTATTATTAGAATCAGACTTTTTTTTTTTTTTTTTTTTTGAGAGTGAGCGAGAGAGAAGGGAAATCAACGAAATCCAAGTAATATCCTGTTTAGAAGCAAGCCACTGGGGGGAGAATTTCCTCCACGGGGGATGATTGCACTTTCTGTGCCCCCACGGAGTTGGTGGCTCCCCACAGCAGACCCCCTCCCCATTTCTCCCTGACCTTTCCATCTTCCTCTCTGCTTGCGAGAAAATGTCAGCAGTTCCAGAGAAGTCCAGGGCCCTGACCAGCAGCCGCCTCCTCGGCTCCTCCTCCGGCAGCCTCAGCGGAGCTGCTGTTCCTTGTTGCTGGTTTCTCCTCACTGCCGAAGAGCAACTTTGAAACGCAGGAATGGAATATAAGCAGAAGTCCTGGGCTCCGCACTGACAAAGTGACCCAAGGCCGCGCTCAGGAAAGAAAGACTGAATACCTCACAGTATATTCCCCTCCCCTCACCCCTGTTTGAAAACATAAATACCGGTTGGATGATCAAGTCTCCCGTATTTCTTCTATATTTTTTTTATAGTGCCCGCCAGGCACTTTGTTTTATGTTTCCAATAGCACCTCCTGAAATAAACCAAAGCAACACTGGCTCAAGTCCCCTGGAGCGATGGAGAAGACCCTCCACCTCATTGGCAGTCCCAAGAATGAATAGCAGCAAAATCCTGGCCAAAAGGTATGTCTTGGCTGACCTGTCTTACAATGAGGCAAAAACCATCATATTTTTTTTCTTTTAGTTTTCTTTTTCTTTCTTTCTTTTTAATTCTCTCCCCCCCCCACCAGTTTATTATTATTATTTTTTCTGGGTTTGTCTTCCCTTCCTAGTGTGGGAATGGTCACTGGAGTGTCTTCTGCTGGGCCTTTTGTGGCTTGAGTGTAGATTTGTATCCATGAGGGCCTGGACATCAGTGTGTAGATTCAGGCTTACTTAGACCATTGGGGTGGGTGGGGTGGTGAGGGCGACCCCGGTGAACAATGGGCTTCTGGTTTCAACTACAAGAGAAAATAAGTGGTTGGAGAAGAAAATAAGTGAGTTGGCTTAGTGCT